GCTCTAGACTGACCCACCTTTTCCTACCCCCGAGCCGGCTACTTCTTTATCAATTCATTCCTTTTCGCGCACTACTTCACTTAACGGGCTATGCTACCTTGTGATTCTAGGAAGTCGGGGATTCCCTTTGCTATTTATTCTTCCTGTTCTTCGGGTCTCATCTGAACGGCTCGATGCCTATTTAGTTACTTTCTTTGTTTGGATTCCAGAATAGAACTACAGATCTTATCTTGGCCCCCTCCATTCGACCTTGTAAAAGGTCTCAATGGGGCCCTGCTCACAGCTCTCCATCTTATGCATCAAAAGGTTCAAGTAATCCATATTCTTCTTCCCCCCCCCCTTGAAAGAACATCGGTAAGTTTGCATTAGTTCAGCCGGAGTAAAGGAACCAAGTACGAATGCTTTCAGTAGTTCTCCTAGGTTAGAAGGGGAAGGTGTTCGGGATAAGAGAAGCAGGAAGGTTCTAGAGAAAAGACCTCGAGAACGCCTACTTACTTGAGATCCAAGTCCTATTATTACCAGATCTTTCTTCTATTAAGGCAATGTAATTGAATATCACGTTTAGAGAATCTGATGAGGAATGGCCAATAGATGTATCTGAAGACGCAGTCTAAGGCTGACAAAAGCCCTTACTTTTTTTTTAAGTAAGCAAGTAGTAACTACCTTAGGATCAAATGCTCTTTTTCTTTCTTTTGTCTTGGATTGCCATTGTATATATACTCGAAAATGCGAGCTTTCTATCTCACTTCTTTGCTAGCTTGCAACTGCTCTTCTTACTAGCACTGAAACTCACTCGGCTGTCTAGCGCCTTGCCTCAATTCAAGCCTCTTTCTTCCTTCTCGGGCCTGAGATTCTAAAGGAAAGGAGTTTCCGGTACCAGCAAGAAAACGGCTTTAGTGACTAACTAAAACGGCTTTCGCGTCACCCGGTGCTTGTTCAAGGCTGTGGTGAGGCTCCTTTTTATTTCACAAAATATACTCTTCCACTTCTATATACTATATACACTGTGTTCGACTGAACCCGTTCTCGTTTTGGCTCTGCGTTCATGAAATTCAAAGACCAACAACAGAAAGCAAATTCTTCGATCTAAATTTAAGGTAGTTTCTACTTGCTTACTTGTTAGAGTAAGGCGTATGGAATTGATTCATCTCTAGTACTGAGGGAAGGGGAATCCAGCAAGGTTTTGGCTCGCAATAAAGCTAGGGTCCTGATCGAGCAACTAGTAGTCCTATCTATCCACCTCTCCAGACACAATATCTTGAGTACCTATGATGGTGACCACATCGGCTGGCATGTGATGTTTGGACATAGAATCGAGTCCTTGTGAATGGGCAGAGCCAGGTGCTCTTATTTTATGACGGTAAGGACGATTGCTTCCATTACTGACCTGAAAGACACCAAATTCTCCTTTAGGTGCTTCAACTGCGGTATAGGTAGAAGGAGCTGGTACGGAAAAACCTTCTGTATAAGGTTCGAAATGGTGAATTGAGGTAGAGTAGACCGATGATCCTGTAGTCATTTGGCCGGCTATTGAAAGAAAAAGCTTGCATCTGCTCTCTTTATTATATAACTGGTCTCATCTCTCTCCAAACCTAACGTGATAGTTTCCCATCATAAGGCTTTCTATCTATAGATTAAGCCATTACCAAGGAGCTAATTTGTTCAGAACTCGGTTGACTGCTTCTATAGATAAGGCGGAGCGTCCTTGGCTCAGTATTTTCTCACATAGGGCTTCGGCCTACAGGGCTTCGCTAACTCGAAGCGCCCCGCTATGACTATGAGAATGGCGCTTTGCTAAGGCCTTGCCTTGTCAGCTTTGCTACCGATGCTTGGCTAAGTCTTGAACCTTCGCGCTGACCGTTCGCTTTCTCAGTAGCAAAAGCGCTTCTCTTTGCCCCTTAAGTAGAAAGACAAGAAAGAATTTTTGTGTTTTCTTGCTCTCGCTTCCTCATCTGCGCTCGTCAAGCCAACTTTCCTCTTTGGTTTGGGAGGTGAAACAGCGGTTAAAGCGGACATTTTGAAATAACTGCATCAAAGATATATATATATATATATATATATATATATATATATATATATATATATATATATATATATATATATATATATACGGTTACGGTTATCCCAAACTGCGTTCTGGAAAAAGTGGCCTACTTGAGGGCACTCTTGTGTTTTAACCTCACTATACTATTCATAGTTGTGGGGCACTGTGTACTTACAACTTTTACGAGAAGCAAGTGAATGGGGCTAGTGCGTGGCGAACGGAACGCTTCATCAAGTCATTTCTCGCCTCACCGCCCTATAAATAATAGGAAGAAGGGTACTTTTTAGGGGTAATTGCTAGTAAGACCAGCTGTTGATCAATGGTAAGTGTGTGAATATAATAGTGCAAAAATCAAAATAGGTAAAGTATGTAAAAAGAACGAAGAAAGTGTCTTTTTATAGATATATGTGTAGAATAGACTGTAAACTCAACGCGTTGCCTTTTTTTTCTGTTTTTGATTGTATATATATATATATATATCCTCCGTTCTTTTTTAATTACAACGTTTAGGAATATTTTTTTAAATAAACTCTTGAGATTTCATATTCCGTACTATGTACACACATTCCTTTGACTGCCTTCTGTGTTTTATACATTACAAAAAAATATACTCATGTGAGGCGTTGTTAGATTCGTCAGGAATTCAATACTAAAGTACAAAATAAAGAGAATCAATGATTTGGAATTAAATGGTATAATTACTTCCACATCCTCCCTTTTTGTTTTTAATCACTTTGACTCTTTGTTACATTATTAATTAAGTTGATTTCCATTACGCATATTCCAATCACTCTCAAAATTACAACAAGTAGATTAGAAAAAAAGTACTCCCTCCATTTTATAATGATAAAATTTATAGTAGAGATATATTTAATTGTTAGCAAGAGAAAGAAATAATGAAAAAAGTAGTATAAGTGGGGGCTGGTTGGAGAGAGAATTAATAAAATAGTATTGGTCATTACCAAAAAAAGAAGTATTGCAATTATTATGAAATGAACGTAAGAAAAAGTGTTGCGATTAATACAAAATAGAGGGAGTACAAATTTAGACAAATGTAACAAAATCTCACATAACTATGTTTTTTCTTTCCTTGTAAAGCACAATATATCGTCATAAGATTGAGAGAGCATGTATAATGTCAAAATCTTAATGTTGCAAGTAAAACAAAGTGGAGGCATAGGTCAGTATTACAGAGAAACTGAATACCTTTGTATATGTGGGGTTGGTAGGAAAGAGAAATAGTAAAATATTTGTGAAAGCGGGGTTAGTGGGAAAGAGAAATTATAAAATAATGGTGGGTCCTTTTCAAATATAAAACTGTTGTAATTAATATGAAACAGATGTAAAAGGAAAGTGTTGCGATTAATACGAAACGGAGGGAGTATTAAAATAAATTAAAAGTTAGCGTTATACACGTTTTGTTATTTTTTACAAAAAATTACTCTCTCTGTTTGTGTTTTTGTAAGTGTTACACTTTAACCGCCATATAGTTTTAGACAATTTAATTTACTTAAATAAAATAAGAGGTAAGTGGGGTAGTTAAAGTATTAAAAAATTGTAAAAGAAAGATAGTAAAGTTAATAATTTATTGTAAAGTACTCCGTAATATAATGAATGTGAGAGGAAATAAATAATAATAAATAAAAGTAATATTGTGAGGGTGGGGAGCGTTAGAGGAGAGAGATACTAATTTAGTATACTAATTAAACTTTACACATACAAATACTTAAATTTCATAATTGCTTAAATATGTATACTATTCAAACCTTGATTATACAACCACATGTATCATACGAATACATAACCATTAATTAAAAGAATATTCGTAATAGCTGAAAAGCCACATCAAATCATAAATAAATAATAGTAAAGTTATACTACCATAAGATGATAATTGTAAGAACTATTCCGTACACGGGAAAAAGGGCTACTAAAGAAGCTTTCATAATGAAAACGTAAAACCACTCTTGAATTATCAAGCAAGTTAGTTCCTTCAATATTTATAATTTTGTTTGCAATTTTTTTTAACTATAACATCATTAGATATATTTATAGTTAAATATATGTATTTACAACTATATTGTATTTCATATGTATATATAATCATATTAATCTATATTATATACTTTATACCTCCTCTGTTTTCTTCTAAATGCAGCATACCTTCTTTTTTGCACATACTTTAAGGAATAAATTAAGTAATGTAAACGAACAAATTATTCAAAATAATTTATACACGTAATATATGAATAGATGCTTTTACAAAAGAGAATTTTTTTTTACACTGAATTATGAATAGAAACACTTAATAAGACTGAAGGAGTAAGTATTATTTGTTTTTAAAGTTGATTTGCGGCGATCCAACTAGTTTTACAAAATTAAATGTTAAAGTACACCAGTGGATTTTCTAATAGTGATGCCATAAACATGGTACTCCACATTACCAGTCTGATTTTGATGCCAACGAATCAATAATTTGAGGAAAGAGCCACAACGTTTTTGACTCCTTGATTTACAAAACTCGCAATGGCATTTTTGTAAATAAAATTTAGTACTGTATTTAATTGGCGTGATTATAATTTTATCATTATTTATTAGGCTAGTAAAAATTGGACATACATAAACCTTTACACTGTATATAGGTATGACTTTGCATTTCATTTTATGCAAAGGTGAGGCAAGCTCTTAGGAAATTATGAGTACATGCTAAAACGACTGTGGTCTAGCCACTCCTACTAAATTTCCTTTAAGCAATTTTCGAACAAGAACATGTGTGACGATCAATTTCCCTTGTTTAAAATTTATCTTGGAAACAAATACTTTAATAATTTATTTATAAGGAAAATGCTAAGATTATTTTGTAACTGCATCAATTTCTTTGGTGTTGCGATTACCTGCATCACACTATGCATGAAGATGAAGAAGCTACAGCTACATCTGATTAACATTATACTCATCCATGAACACTGATAAAGCAATCAATTGAATTCCGGTGGAAAGCAGGACAGTCATGCTACAACTTCTCGCAGCTACATAGTTTACAACTAATCGTTTTACAAAATTTCCAGGAATAAAAATCTAGCTCTAAGCCAGAGCTATGAGTCTACACCTCTACAATTTCTATGGTATATCGTGATCTCTCAACAATCTAATCAATGATCTTTCTATACTGTGCTAGCTGTGAAAAGGGAGATAACAAAAGGCAGTGAGAACGAAATTAAGAGACCAAAGATGGATGTCTTCACTGTATAGTCTGTATTGAATAGTAAGTTTCTAAAGTAACCTATCTATGCGGACAAGCCAGTGGCGTCCTTAGGTATCAGAAAGAGAAATGCCAGGGGGATGAATGAACAAAAGAACTGAATAACAATGCCAAGATGAAGGTTGTCAAAAGAACCCGAAGAAATGTTCAAAATCGATGCCAACCAAGCACCAACAAATGAGCCCACGGTGGATCCAAAGTTTTTTATCGACATGAATAGAGCAAACAAGGTCCCTTCAATGCCTGGAGGACACAGCTGACCTGATAAAATCAGAAATGGCATTAACCTGTTTTCACATCAAGAAATGAAACCATGTCAATATCACAGTATTTAGAAAAAAAATAAAAAGGAAAAGAAATCACTACATTAACAAGCAAGCACAAGTATTCCTGACACAACCAGTACTCCATCAATCTCAACTGACATGTTTTCCTCACAAATGAAATCAGAGAAGAAACAGAGCAAAAATAACAAGAGTCTTTAGAAGTGAAATCAGAATATAATGATGTCCAATGTGACTGGCTCACTGCAACAGACAGCCAAACTATGGGAGAAAGTCCACAATCAAAAGTAAAAATTTCAAAGTGAAACAAGAAAATAACAGCGTCCCATGCAACTACAATCAACTGGTTATGTGACTGTGCCTCTCCCCTCCCAATTAGATAATAAGGTGGAAAAGCAGAAAATACAAAATATAATGTACAAATGACTGAATGAGTCACCCAAGATGTTGAGTAAAAAAAGCAAAGACAGTATGCAGGTTCTGATATGCGAGTTATAACAGAAGCTTACTTGAACTGGTTGATTGCGTCTGCAACTGCAGTCCCCCATAAGACCAGTATTTTATCTGAAATCCCATATGCAATATTTGCTCGAGAAACTAAAACCATGTCTATGAGAATTAGCAAAGACAATGCAATCTGGGCCCACCTGTACAACATTTTTGACAGAGCATCAAACACATCGCGCGCACACACACACACACAGTCAGTATGACTACAGAAAGGGAAGAGCACAATACATAAGAATAAGCATGTAGGTAATAATATTCACAAACTACTTACATAAGAGTTTTTTGTAACTTCTTTCGCTTCAAGTACTTATTGTAAATGGAAGTTCCAAGCATCAGGCCTAACCAGCCCACAACTCGTACATTTCCCAGGAAGGACGCATCCAAGTTCAACAACTCAGTCTGATAGTAGAACATCACAGTTGAAATGTTGGGGAAAGTAATGTGTGCCAAGAAAAACCAAGCCATGGGTCTAGCCTTCCAATTGAAAATAATGATTAGAGGTTGAAAAAATCCATCATGCATAATGGAAAATAAAAAAATTATTAACATGATTCACTTCACATGAGACATGAGCACGAATGAACCAACATTCTAAACATGATCTGATCAAGACATTATGGTGAATTGGGAAGAAATGATGCCAAGGAAAGCAAGGACCATTTACCTTACACAAAATTGACCAAACTTATATCAACCAAGTTTACCAAATCAAGCCAAGATTTCAGCCAATACAACATCATCTAAAAAAAATAGAGTCCACAGTCCAGACCATATCATGTCACCATACTACTCAAATTCCAAAATCAAGATATCTTTTTAAGTCACACAATCGAAGTCATTTACCTGTTGACGGTTATCTAATAAAATGGCCCAATAACATAATGTTTAGCTTTTAAGTGCTGATGAGTAGTTATTACTCCAAGTAATTTCCTTACCTCAAAATGATAGGCTGCCTAAAAGCATTGAATAAACTGTAACTGGCAGTCTTCAACGAGTAAAACCATTGTAATGCTAATGACTTATTCTTGACTTGCTTCAGAGAGTTATTGGACAAAATTGCCTTCTTTCTGTTTTTTTGGCTCTTCTTTCTCCTTGAAGTGCTAGTTTTGGAGAAACCATTAGTTAGATGGTCCACATTTTCTGCATTATCACCACCATTACTCATATGCAAGCTTGTCGAATTCGAATCTTCACTTAAATCTTTGGAATTTGCAGGACTCTCCTCAACCAAACCACAAGACACAAGCTGTAAAGCTGGAAGAATGGCAAACAGCAGAAATATGGCATCAATGTGCAAGTTACTCAGTACATATCCTCCCAATAAACTCCCAAAGATTCCTCCCAAGGCCATGGACATCCAAGAAATTGACTGAAGATCTCCAGCAAATGCAGCCCTATCAAAAACATAAATAAATAGATAAATAAATAAAATGAAGTGAGACATAATAATACGACATGAAAATATTAGCATATATGCATCTGGCAGAAGCAGGCTGGCAAGCAATAGAGAAATATTATGATGTTTACAAGAGCTCTTCATTTTATTCTAATCTTGGATCAGTTCATGCAACTAGAGCAAAGAATAAGATTGACATTAATATACATACCTCTCAAACCTAACAGCTTCTGCAATCATTGCATCAGCTACAACATCAGCCATGGCAGAGCCTATATTCTGTACTGTTAAAAAAAACATGAGTGGCACTTTGGACGATCTCAGTGATGCATTTAGACCTATCATAATCCATGGCACTAGAGATAGCACTGTCGAAATAAATAAGTATGGAGTCCTTCTCCTCCCTCTTATGGGTATACAATCTGATATAATTCTGCAAACAAGAGCAAACCACAAGCATCAGCAAATACCACATTATTACTTTAGCAAATATACAGAATGCTTCAGTACCCTTCCCCAAATGTCATTATGTGAAGCAACAGGGGAAGTTATTACTTAGTAGTTAATACAAATCTGCATGGTAAAATTAAACTACATTATTACAATAATGATAGAAAAATTAAATATCTTGATGACATGCCAGGAAAACACCACTATTCTATCAACAAATATTCAGAGACATCATAAAATCTTCATATGGATCAAACTACATGTTCAACATACGGAAGCATACAAATGCATGTTTATTTGGGGAAAAACATATTTCTTAAAATCGAATCCTTGGAAGTTAGTTATGCATTGACAATTCCCTTGAAAATTACCTCGTGCGAATGGATCCCTTGGCGCACTACGCAAAAATGAAGTGTATACTTTGACTAAGTATGCATATGCACATGGCAAGAACTCTAAGCTTGTCTAAAATAACTAGAATTGGCAGTATACAGGTACAAGTACGTCTGTTTTTATAGGAGTAGCATACTTATCAAAAGAAATAATACCCATATAATGGTTTTATACTCCAAGGAAAAAATGCTACCGAGGTTACAAACTGGGATGCTGAGGGAGACAGCTTCAGATCGTCCTTTAGATGATAAGAAACTGCTGTCCACACAAAGGATCTAAAACCCTGCATTGGACAATTTTCAAGGACAAAAGCCAATCATTAAAAACAACAAGGAAGATTCAGCAGCATTGCCGCAGAAATTCCAGGCCCCAACAGCACTACCACATCACCACCCCCCCCCCCCCAAAAAAAATAAAGAAAAAGGGGAAACAAAAGGTCACATAAAACTGACAGAAGGGAAGAGGGATTAGAGTTTGCTCCATTTTCCGACCCTTAAACACAATATTCCTGTGAGAACATAGTTCACCATTCTGTCATGTGTCTAAGTGGAAGACAGAGTGACAGACAGAGAGTAAAAGCTTGATAACTATACTCCAGAACACTGATGAAACCATCAGTTTAGTTTAGTAAAATGCTGAAGCAGCTTCACTACACTTAAGGAGAGAAGTAATAGCCACAACCTACAAAGATATATACATTCTATTACCTATAGATAAGTGTATCGCAAAAGAAAATATCGGATATCAGCAATCAGTGTTAATTGTTCACAGGCCATATCCTGGAAGACACCTATACCCCCTCACAAAAAGGTCAAGAAGATAGAATTATGAGGCCTAATCGACATTATAAGAATGAATGAGCAAGATTGCAAACATAAATCAGCACTAACATTCAGGTAAGGAACCTTCTTAATAAGAATAGCTGCTCGCAAACACAAGGGTTGGCCCTAATTAAGTATTTTTCGTTGTTCTCACTCTCTACAATCTACACTGGCATAGGATTACTTTTTCCTCAACATCTTCACTCTCACACCAATGAAAACATCTATCTTGTTTGTAAAACCCAATACCCAACTTACATACACCACAAGACAAACATAGATATGCACCAAGACTTATGATGACTCATAAACATATATAATAACCTCTTCAAGTTATTCAAATCAATGAAAACCTTCAACATTTCATGCACCAGAGCTACCTGCACCAATGTGCTGCATTCATAGCTAATTTCTCGCCCTTCTAAAGCATCAATAGGTCACTAAGCCACAAACAAACTTTATATTCACCTATACATTGGAAGTGCCACATGTCTGATCTGATTTTTTCAGCAGAAAATTGTAAGCTACCAATCTACCACCCCAGCAACGAACTTTGGGAGAACATTAGTATTGTCAAAAGCTGATTTAGTTTACAAGTCACTAAGGCAAACTCCATTGTAAACATTACACCCCATACTAGCAATGGAATAACTTATCATTGTAGCATGCTAAATTGACGTGCCAACCACATTCTCCTATTAGACTCAATATGTTTCATATGTATCCTATAAGGCTATAGATCAGCATCTCTACTAGTCTTGATCCCATCCAAAAGCAACTAAACAAAATTTTCTTGACATTACCATCAAAATTCAAAAGTTCCACCAACAATCTCTACCATGGTAATTTCTTTAGAGAAATAAAAACACCCTAATGAGGCAGCCGGGTGTGAATCAAAGCCAGGGACTTCTCTACCTCCTGAAGACTTTAACCCCTATACTTTCCAAATCATTAAAAACATATTCTTCTACCCCATCTCAAGATTGGCTGATCCAACTGGAATTTGCCCAACTTTAACCAATTCAAATAGGCCAACTATAGAAGATTAACCATCTACTATGATCTTAATATAAGTATGTGTATGTCACTTCATAACTCCATCAACTACTTACTACTTCAGGCCAAAATCATTAAATCACAACGACTTTTCCTATAAACTGGCAAATTTAAAAAATTAAGTAGCAATAACAATGAACATTATCAATCCTAGGTCTAAAACACAAACCCAGAACCACATAATCGCAATTTTACCCCAGATAAATTTAAAATTAATAACAAATTAAAAAAATCACACCCCATTTCATAAAACTAAAATGTCATCATACCCAGAAAAAAATAACAATCAAATTTCCCCAAAAATCATCAACCCAGATAAAAAAAATAATGAAAATGATAGAAAAAATTAACCTGGGTAAAGTAGATCAAACAAATGAGCCATATAAAAGAAGCCCCAAAAGCGGATTTGAGCTGCTTCGACCATTCTATCATCGTCGATTTTATTTTTGCGCTAAATGATCAGTGTCTCGACCTTTGAATAATAGCTGCATAGACCCCAGAAATTAAAATTAAACAATAATAATTACTGGGAGTTTTTTGTAGAAAATATTTCATGAACTCGTCAAATTCATCAGCATTTGAAGTTTTTCTGGTGCGAACTGTTTTCTGGCCATATAACGGGCGAAGTTAGTTTTTTTTTATAAAAAGGAAAAGAGTTGTAAGAAAATTCCAGCAAGGATTGAGGGGTGCACGTGGCGGAGAATCATTGGGTGTTGTTAGTTGTCCTCTCACTTTCATTGGTTTGTTGCATGATGTATTTGTTACGGTCTACGGTCCAACTTTGTGAAAACTTGAGAACAAACAAATTGACAATAGAGGTAGATCATTCGATCATAGACGTTTACTAATTATACTTTTTACTCCACTCAAAAATACAGTAGGTGTAAAAAAAGTAGGTTTAAAAATACAGGTGTAAAAAAAGTAGTGGACCATTTTTATTCGATTTTAAATTAAAAATTCTTAAGTAAAATACGAATTTTATTAAATAATAGAAAAAATTGAATAATTGAAATGAAAAGAAGGGTTCTTATTTCCAGAATCTGAAGATGACATTTATCTTGTTTTCGAAGAAAGAGGAACAAAGTGTTTAAAGTGGAGAAAAAACAAGGGAACAAGAGGAGAATACAGGGTGAAAGTTTGGTTTTCGGTTTGGATTATAGCCCTAACCGAATCAAAACCGAATTAATTCGGTTTGAGATTTTTCGAACCGAGTGTAATCCAAATTACTTTTCAGTCCAAACCGATCCAAATCATTTCTATTTCGGTTTTCAAAAAATAAACCGATCCAAACCGAATTTTTTGGGGGCTAATATTTATCGTTCTGCCATTTTTAAATTATATAAATCAATTGATCAATTTTATATAAATTTGTTTCGAATTATTAACAAGATCATGGCCTAAATTTGCCCAAATATTATCTCAAAATTAATATTTACATGCAAATAAAATCAAACAACCATGAATATTCATATAGAATTCTAGATCCATTGATACTCAACATTACCCAGAAATATAAAATACACAATCTATAAAATAAAAGAGATATAAATGAAAATTTAGCATAGATAATTGAAATTTACATTTTTGACTAAGCATTTCACAATTCACCCTTGGTTTCTTCGCCTACTTCTCGACGAAATAATCTTTACAAATGATCGTGATTGCCTTCATCTAAATAGAGAAGAAATGAAGATGATAATATTTGAGCATGAGAAAGAGGGATTAAGAGGACTAAGAAGAGAGAGAAAGAAAATCAGAGAAAGAGAATAAGACTGAGACTAAGACTAAGACTAAGACTAAGAGGAGAGAGAAAGAAAGTGGTTCAAGAATGATAGATAGAAAGGGTTTTTTGCTTTTATATGAATGGGAATAAAAGGGCTGCCAAAAGGGTTAGGGAGATTGGGCTTATGTGCAATAGTCCTTGGGCCGTAAGTCGGTTTTTAAACCCAAAACCGAATTCAAACCGTAATTCGAATTTCTCAAATTTCCCAATCCAATCCAAACCGAACTAAAAAAAATTCCAATCCGAATTACTAATTCGGATCGGTTTTCGGTTTGGTTCAGTTTTAATCCGAATTATTTTCACCCCTAGAAGACAGGGGAATTAGGGGAGAGACATAACGGGAAGAAAATAAACAAATAGGGGAATTAGGAAATTTATTCTGTATTTTGTGGCCTTTCGTTATTATGGTTGCGCAACTTATAATTAATCTAAAAATTTATTTCAAAGAGTAAATTAGGTGCTAATTTGGTTAGCTACAGGCCTACACGACCCTTATTTTGATGTAACTAGCATAGTACCCGTGCGATGCACGGTTTGTAAATCAAATTATTAATTACGTAGGAAAAAAACAAATTTAATTTAATTTGTAATGAAGGGCTCATTTTCTAATGATCGATACAACAATAAAGGATTGTAATTTAAATAGTAATTTAAGTTATTTGATTTTGATAACGTTATTTTATTAGTTGAAAAATAAATGAATAATACTCACATAACTTATATATGAGAAGTAGACTAATTCATTTTCTATCTCCGTAGGAAAAACTAAAATTTTCTTGTCATATCATTCGCTTTAGTAACTAAAATATGATACATGTTTTACCCGTTGCATTCACCAAATTTATAAACACAATAATAACCTTACACTAGTAGAAAAAAGGAAATAGGCACCGCACATTTGGCACCGGTTTTTGAAAACCAGTGGGAAAGAATTGGGCGGTATTGGGAATAAGGACTTTTAACCGGTGCCAATTAAAAAAAATTATTGAAAACCGGTGGGATTTTGCACCGGTTCTAGCCAAACCGGTGCCAATTAAAAAAATTTAATAAAAAAAAATTTGGGCTTCTTATATTCCCTCAGCCCCTCACTCTCTCATATTCATTCTCTCTCATCAACCCTCCTTATTTTCTGATCTCTTAGCTCGTTCTCCCTCATCTCTCATCTCCCTTATCTCCAGAATCCTCAGATCTCTCTAATCTATCGTTCTTAGATATCTCATCTTCTTCCTCATCTGTTCTCTCATCTTCTTCATTCTTCCTCATCTTGGTTTCGAAACCATCGCCGCCGCCGTTCATGCAATCAAAAGCCGCCGCCGTTCATGCAATCAAAAGTCGTCGCCGTTCTTCTCTCTGTTAATTATTAGAAAATCAAAATTTTGAGGTTAGGGTTTCTGGTTTCTTTAGTTTTGCGTTTTGGTTTCAATTATTTATGTTAAATTGCCTTGATTTTGGGTTTTTTCCGTTAATTATTCAAGTTCTCTTCGTCAATTATTAGAAAATCAGAATGTATGTGTTTTTTTTTTGTTCAAAGTTTCTGGGCTTTTTAGGTCTTGTTCGACTTTTTTAGGTTTTTTTTGGGTTTTTCTGGGTTCAAAATATCTTGGTTTGAGGGGTTTTTTTTTCAGGTTTTGATGGTTTTTCTGGGTGTCCTGGATTATTAGGTTTTGATTGGGTTTTTTTTATGTTTTTTTTCTGGGTTTTTCGATCTCGATTTCTTGGTTTTACGGGGTTTTTTTTTGTTTTTTTGGTTGAATTTACTGGGTTGAATTTTAGTGCCTTGTTCAATTTTGTGGTGGTTTTTTTTGGGTTGAATTTGAGTGATTTATCTTGTTTTGGGTTGATTTTTTATGTTGTTAGTAGCATTGTTATCTGATTTTATTGTTTTAATTGATGCAGGTTGGAATTGAAGTTTCTGATTTTTTAATTTTCGGTTTGAAGGTCGTGATTTTGCTAAGTTTGAAGTTCGAAGTTTCTGGGTTGTAAATTGTAAAATTACAAATTCAGCAATTTTCTGTTTTTTTTAATAAATTGTAAAATAACAATTTATTTGATGAATATATATTTATATGTGATTATATATTACGATTTTGGTACCTTGTGATTTCTTGTTTTGGATTGTATGCTGAATTTTTCATTGAAGGCATAATTGCGAAGAAATTGCAAGAAAAAAAAATTATTGTTTGAAGGCATAATTGGCACCGGTTAACCGGTGCCAATTGTAGTTAAAATTAAGAAAAAAAAAACAGCGCGGCACTTACTTTTGGCACCGGTTAACCGGTGCCAAATCGTGTAGTTAGCACCTGTTAACCGGTGCCAAATTTTCATGGATTTGGCACCTCTTAAATCCCCAACGGTTCAAAACCGGTGCCTCAGGGGGGGTTTGAACCGGTGCCCATTTTTCTTTTTCGCCTAGTGTTATATCTGACTCACCAGTATTATATATGATGTATTGTATGTGATATAAGGAGTAATATTTATAGTTAAGAATTAATAGATATGGAAAATATTTTAAGATAGATTAGGGAAATATGTGAATAAAAAAATATCATAATAATATGATTTGTTAAATATTTTGTACATAATTTATAATAGGTAGTTGATGGCATTAACAAAAATAAAACAAAAAATAGGAAGAAAAAAAAAACGCAAGGGGAGTTTGGAGGGAAAAAACAACACCAAGAAGTTTGTTTTAATATTATATTATTGATTATGTTGTGTTTGTTATATGGAGTATTATCTTAATTTATTATTTTATCTTTGAGTATTATTTTAATTTGTTAATTTTTAAGTTTATATTATGATTTTTTTTTTTTTTGAGGGGATATTATGATGATTCATTACTCTGAAAATATACTTCCATGCTGAGACATTGTGTATATCTAAATAGGTATTTTTAAGCAAGCTTGTACGATAATATAAGCCTACTAAACTTTAACTAATCCGAATTCGATTCGAGCTTGGTTAGGCCTCATTTAGGAGGAAAGTTCTCCCAACACATGTAGTAGTTGTGTTTTTAAATCTTGAACTCAATACCTTGGTAAGATGGAACAACTCCTTTCCAACTGATTTAAACACTTTTTTATTTTTATGTTTATTATGAGCAAAGTGGGTCTAATTACAATTGTCCGTCAGGTTGTGATAAACTTCCAAAATGTTATGATTTCCACGTATGCACATAGTTTAAACTCCAAATGATATTTATTTATCTCAGCCTTATATGAGAGTTCAAATTAAAAAAAAAAAACAAAACAAAAAAACAAAAAAATTGAGTTGATTTTATTTTTTTGGATCAATCCTTGTATATGCCAAGAATAAGTCTTATGTATTATTGTAAAACGGTCAGTTTGAGCATAATTTTAACTATTTTTATTGGTAACTTTTACCACTTAAAGGGTAATTTTTAGTTTATCGTTGATTTGAATTTTATTTTAATGTGTAATTTCTTATAAGTTCGTGATTACATACTATAAAAACTAATATGATTAATCTAATACATTACAACTTTTTTGTAAGATAAAATTTTTTAATAGAAAAATAATAACTGTTTCGGA